GTGGGTGTGTGTGTGTGTGTGTGAGGGGGGGTGCGTGCGTGCGTGTGTGCGTGGGTGTGTGGGTGTGTGGGTGTGGGTGTGGGTGTGGGTGTGTGTGTGTGTTTGTTTGTGTGTGTGTGTGTTTTTTAGGCAATCTGCTAGGGAAGGCGTTCCGACTCGACTCTACTCGCAGGACCGGGCTCTCTTGGCTACAGGTTCGATTCGATAAATAAGCGAACTTCAAGCGTAATCGATGGCAGCGTGCAGGGCAGGGGCGCTTGTATCCCCAAGCAAATCTGCTGCATGCCAGCGAGTACGACGGGTTGATTTGAGCTACTGCTGCATGATGCGATCGTTCAGCATCTTTCGGTGGCTCAACCTGTCAGCGGAGTAGCATCTCGGCGAACATGTTTGCGGCTGGAGATGTGTTCCCATCACACCACTTTTTGCAAGCTGTGAATTTGCACAATGCTTCCGTGCATGCGTGCCTGGTGAAATCGGAAGACCCTTTGCGACAAAAGCTGCGATTTGGCTTCGCTTTGGTCGTGTTCGGGTGCTATGTACCGGTCAGTCACTGCATTCAAGATGGACATGGTTATTGGACGATGGAGCGTATTGCTTTGTTCAACAACGACTCACGCAATGTGATCCCCGACTGGGGGTCTCAAGCATACATCGACCAATCCGTGAACTTTGCAAACATGCTGCGGCGCTGCTCATAAGCTGCACTATCCAGAATCTGTCGTAGCGGAGTCTTTAGGCGTCAACTAGCAAGGTTCATGCTCTCGTGACTAGGCTCCACTCACCACGCTACTAAGTCATACGCATGCACAGCTTGGCAGCTGTCCCACATCCGAACATCGACGCCACCTGGACTAAGGTAACGGACTCGATTTGCACGACTACATCTTGAAACAGGTGGGAGAGAGGCAGTCTCCTACTCTACCGGGGGCCCGAATCCAGACCCAGTTGCCTATCTCTTCAATTCTGAAAGGATGAAGCATTGAAAGGTTTCAGGTTTAGTACAGCTCCAACTTGTTGACCCTAAGCTTAAACCCCCGAAGGCTAAACTCACCTGAAGGCCTAAAGTAATATTCGGAGTTTAGGATTTGGGCTATTCCGTAGGGTTCCTCACTATGAATGTTACGTAACCGTGGCCGGAGGTCGACTGGACGTCGTCTGGGCCAATCCTCCACGACTTCCTCGGCTTCCTTTCGCTCCGAGCCCTGTCGATCCCGGGCATCCGCAGGCTCTGTGTTTGCTGGGTTTGGGGTATCAGAGAGCTTCAGGCTCAAGGGTTCTATCAGGTTTTAGGGAGGTTTAGGGTTTAGGGGGTTGACGGAGGTTTGGGGACTTTGTTGTTCAGGGCTTGTCCTTCAAAACAGGAAAGCCCCAATCACCAAAACCCTCAAGCAAAGAAGCCTAACCCTAAATTGCAATGCCGTGCATCAACAGGAGCCACGGCTTCGCATATCTGGAGATCGGGGGATCCCACCTGCGCCACTTCTTCGCGCAGACGCGGCTTCTACAGGAACTCTACAGCTCCTTCGACGAATTTAGCAGGACAAGACGCGAAAGCCTAGCCCTAAGGCTCAAAAAGAGCCCAAAAGCCTTATACATAGTATGATCTTTGGGCCCAAAAGAATTGAAACAATATGAGTCGTTAGAGCCTTAGGGTATCTCCCTAGACCTCGATCTAACCGGGTCTACTTAGAACCGGCCTGAGATGCCTCTTCAGATTCAGGTGATCGTGGATGGTTGGCTGTGGCCATGGATGTGGAGGTGGCGTTTTTTGTTTTCTCTCTCTCTCTCTCTCTCTCGCTCGCTCGCTCGCTCTCTCTCCGTCTCGCACTCTCGCACTCTCGCTCTGTGTCCCTGCTTGGCGCGTTTTGTACTGCAATCTTTCGGGGATGTGGGGCGAGGTACGTCTTAAGTGCTGAATCTCCTAGACTCATGCCCGAAACCTAAGCAAACACTGAACACAACCCTAATTAGTTAAACCCTAAAAGCCCTACACTGCTCAAGGCAATGCTCGACAGGAAAAGCTTTACGACCAGGTCCCGAAGTCAACACTCCCACAGCCCGCTGGTAAGCTTGAGCGGTCTACGACCTTTTGAAATTTGAGTCGGCGTCAAATGCGTCAAAATTACTTGTTCATGCTGCTTACGTTTTTGAACTAGCGCGCCCACTATCGTTTTCCGAGGAATTCGCCTCAGGCACTTGCAGGGACCAAAATATAAGTAACCCTATCCTTTTAGTGCGCCCCGTATCGATCTTGGGGGTTCTGGCTCAACAACTACCCTCTACACTAAACTACATTAACGATAATGCTGACCCCATCTCAAATCCTTTCACGGCCCTGCAACGTTTTGCCAAGTGATAATACAAGTTCCACTTCAGCCTTGTGAGACGTGCGTGTAAGCCTCAGGGGCCCTGCAGTCTATAACTTTGCCGATCCCTAAAGCCCTAAGGCTCGAAATAGCCCGGAAGCCTTCTATAGCATGGACTGTGGGCCCAAAAGCCTTAACATAAGAGTCCTTAGAGGTTTAGGGAAGTGGAGAACCCCTGTACTCTCGGCTTAGCTCAGAGGCACCCAACCCGGCTGTTGAGCGACTGTGGTTTGGGAAACGCCCCAAGGCCGCAGTCGGCGGGTTGGGGGTATCCCAAAGGTTTTTTCTTTCGTATTCGTACCTTCGTGTATAATGTAAGTTTGAGTATGTAGGTGTATAGATGCATGCATACATGCGTACATACAGAATGCATGTGTACAAGCATGCATACATACATACATACATACATACATACATACGTTCATACATGTATACATATGTGTCTGAATATATATATATATAGATATGTACACATATTTGTATACTTTATGTATGTATGCATGTATGCATGTATGTATGTATGTATCTAGGTAGGTAGGTAGGCAGGTAGGTAGGCAGGTAGGTAGGTAGGTAGGTAGGTGGGTATGTATGTATGTATGTATGTGTGTATGTATGTATGTATGTATGTATCTACATTTGTATGTACGTATGTATGTACGTACGTACGTAGGTATGTATGTATGTATGCATGCAAGTATGTATGCATGTATGCATCTATGCCATGCATCTATGCATGTATGTATGTATGCATGTATGTATGCATACATGCATGCATGTAGACATATGTATGTATGTATGTACGTATGTATGTATGTACGTACATGTATGTATGTATGTATGTATGTATGTATGCATGTATTAAAGGTATGGATATTGACGGAGAACATGTCTACACACACACATACATATACACATACGCATACATATACATATACATATACATATACATATACATATACATATACGTATACATATACATATACATATACACATATACACATATACACATATACACACATATACACATATACACATATACACATATACACATATACACATATACACATACGCATATGCCTACGCACACATTGTCACATGTACATGTACACTTGCACCTACGCCTGCACCTACACGCACACATGC